ACGGTGGGTTGCGGGTCAGAGGGGGGTGGGAAGGCGAGAAGAGGAAAAATAAGGCGCCGACCAATGAAAGATGCATGTATATATTTGGAACTGTAATGGTGGATTTTAAATAAGTAGTCCTTCCAGAATACTTTACCCTCACCCCGTAAAGATACGTATCACTTGGCGTTTTGCTGTACATGAATTCCCTGTAGCTCTTTCTCTTAGGTCTTTCTTCCCTTGTTACTTATAGACCGCCTTTTTTAATCCACTAAAGCATCTCGGATCTTTTATTGTCGCGTCCTTTCTATCTTAATCATCATAATTTCATATTTTTTCTTTTTTCCTGCTGAAGAAGTAGCGTTTTTTAATATAAAGAACAAAACTATGGACATCGAACAGAACGCACAAGCTTCAATTAAGCTTTCCTTCACGATATGACGTTATGACATTAGGTGCATAGAGCATAATTTTAGTAGTCATATTTTGCGATTTTTATATTTTATGAAGAAGATAGCAAAAATCTATAGGAATATTTTATGTAAACAAGATTATTTCTTTCCACCTTCTTGAAGAATAAATTTTACTTTTATATGAAAAAAATGTTGGGCATTCGTATCAAATTATATAAAATATCTTTTTAAATATAACTGAGATAAAAGAAAAAATTTGATAATAAATAATTGCTTTATCAGCACTCTTTTCTTTTTAATTATCAATAATGAATTATCTATTATTGGTAATATTTCGATTATAATCGAATTACAATGTTAAGATATTTGCATATAAATATTTCACAAATGTGTTTTATAAATTAATTAATAAATAATATCTTTTTCCGTATGTAAAAACAATTATATTATTATTCGTTTTTAATTATGCATCTATTAATATTTGACAATACGTAATATATTATAAAATTACTATACAAATAAAAATAAATAATGATTTTAATAATTTTTTAAATAATTTTCAACGTCAATTATTAGTAGAAATAGTAATGAATATACTATTATATATACTATTGAATATACTATAAACTAATAAACAGAATAAATATAAAATAACAACTGTAAACATTTGCATAATTATGATCCTTAAAAATCTATTATATGTGATTTATCGAATGAAATTTCTTATAGTAATTACTATATTATATACTATAATTTTTACTTAAATACTTATGGAATAATTTAATATTTTTTAAACTATACAGAAATACTTATTTTAAATACTTTTATTTTGTATTACGATACATTATTTTATCTTTGTCGTAAAGTTCTAATGTAGTCAAATATAAGCACCGTTTAGATTTCAAATTTGTTGTTGCCTTCACAATAAATTTATTTCTCAGATCCGTACAAAAAAAGTGCGTTATGATCCGAGTTTTACATTGTACGTATTGTCTTTGACAGAAATCATTAAAAATGATTAAATAAATACCTTTAACCAAAGTTTTTACTCATTTGTTATCATCAGAAGCAATATGAACATATAATAATGTTAACTTGGTGAAAGCGGAAGATAGGTAAAGAAAGTATTAAAGAGTAGAGTAAAAATCTCTTGCTCCTAGGAGCTGATCATTAGAAGCGGATAATTTTGTTGAAGTTGCAAGTAATAAATAAATCAGCAGAATAGAAAGCTAAAAACAGCATGTGGTATAACTTGATCTGGCACGTGCTATTTCCTATCTCTCATTCTCACACACTCACACACACTCACACACACACACACACACACACATTCACACACACACACACACTCTCTCTCTCTCTCTCTCTCTCTCTCAATTTTGATGTATATAATTGTATACAATAATAGACATCTTAATATTCTAATCATTTACTAATATGTTTTATTTCAGATCCTTGCACATAGTTTTTTCGATTCCGTAGTTAGTAAAACCTTATAAATAATAATTAATTTTTTAAATTGATTCACAAAAATTTATTATTCAATAATTCTACGAATTCGATATAAAAAAAAAAAAAAGATTAGATAGAAGTTATAAAAGCGATTTAATAATAAAGTCTAGTTATTGTAAGAATGTATAGGGTATCGTTGGAGATATAATTTAAGAAATTTATTTGTCAAATATATTCCTATCACTATACGTATGAGATATTAAGAGCTAATGTTAGTTTGGTATGTGAAAAGCATTTATTTTTCAAATACAAATGACTATAATTTAAATTGATATATAGTATAGTCAAGATAAAAAATGTATTTAATAGTTGTTTGTCGAACTAGAAAAATGCTGATATAGTAGATTGGTTGGTTAATATTTTTACTTAATTCATTGACTTAAAACTTTGAAATTACCCTAAAAATAGCTTAAATATCGAAATTAAATATCATATTAAATATCTAAACATATACAAAATGAAAAATGTTGATATCGCTCAATATAATTCCATTAAATAATATTAATGTATATAGAAAATATTTATCATGATGTAGTGGAGAAACTGTGATAGAATTAAATCTAATCCGTCTACATTCATATGACATACAATATATAATATATTCAAACTCTATATAATTAAATTGATAAATTCGAGACTTAAATACAAGAATTAAAAAGTGCACGGTAATAAAAAAATTTATATAAATTACAAAAGCTTGCCGAAATATCATTGTTCGCTTAAAAATATTATCAAACATTGAGTAACCAGCAACTAGTTAGCAAAGTATATTATCGTATAAATTATTCTTAATTCGATATTAATTTAAAAATTTGTTTATTATATTTATGTATTTGACAATAATTAGAATTAGGATTGCATCATCATTTAATCTTAGCCTTTTATAAATCTTTCAATTTTTATAAAAACTTTATATACATATTTTGAATAATATTTCTTTAATACTTTATATTATTTTTCATTATTTTTACATTACTCTAAATAATATTCAATTAAAAATAATCAAAAATATAATATAACACAGAGTATGTGTATTTAATGAGATCAATTAGATACATTGAAAAAAATCTAAGTAGAAAAGTATGTAAAATCAAGAAATATAGAACATTAATAAGAGACTAAAATAATTCGAAACTTAAATATTATCATTCAATCATAAAGAAACTGTTTGATACGTCCTTATCATCACTCACGCAGAATCAATTTGGATTACAGAAACAGAATTCAGTCTTCAGATATGATAAACCATATAATAAACCATAGAACTGTACGTTCCTAAGCATAAGCATGATTTCTCGAGTTGGTAAGCTTTACTGGATACATAATATAAGCACGAATCTATTTTTTTTTAAATATTTGAATATAATATTTTGAAGATAATAAATAGCGTTGATTGATAATTTCATTATCAAATTTACCGAAATAAATTGAATAAATTACAAAACTCATTACAACACCATAAGGAATAAATATAAAACATTCATAATGATACAGAAATTAATATTAATCAATTATGAATGTGTATACAACTATATATCGACTGATCAAGAATAAAGAAAATTAAATGTCAATGGAAAGTCAACAATTAAAAACAAATTATAAATCATAGAGAGAATTACAAAAAATTATCCCAAAGGATTCCAAATTGTAATATAATTATTAAAGAAATATTAAAATAAGCAGTAGATTCTATAAACATTTTTAATACTTTTAATTCAGATCTTTAAAAAAATAATTATATAGAAATAGGAATTGAAGAGGATAAATATTAAAAAACCTTTTCGAAAATAAAAAAAAAAATTTAAATAATGTTCATTCGTATGATAAAAAAAGTTATCTCCATTTATATAAATAACTAAATATGTATAAACTGTTCCTTTTATAATTTGTTAAAGTAGTTATTTACGTTAATATATATATATATATATATATATATATATATATATATATTACTTAAATAAATATTAATGTATAATTAAATAAATACATAATATAAATATGTTATTAATAATTTAATGATAAGGCAATAAAATTATATGGTGATTTTTATAAAAGTTTGTTTCATTCAAAGTCATTATATATTTAACATTATTTTACATAATTTTATTAACTCAAAAAATGCTAGTGGGTCAATCAATTGGTTATTATATTTATTATTAATTTTTTTTTAATATAAATACATAAAAAATTGTAATGAATCCATTAAAAATATATAATTAATGCTGGATGGGATAGGAAAAATATATTTACTTTTTATAAATATACCAGATTGTGAGTTCAAGGTCGCATATGTCTTCAATCACACAATCATTTAATGCAAAGAATTAATTATTCTATATTGGTTGTATTAGTTCATAAAGAAAATGTATATATATATATATATATATATATATATATAATTATTTAGTAAATAATTTTATTTAATACGTTATTTATTTTTTTTTAAGAAATAAATAATTACTTAATACAAAGCTTTTTCTACAAATAATGTTACATTTTTCAAAAGAATATTAATTCAAGATATGCATATATTAGTTTAAGAAATAATTTCAAATTTAATTGAATATGTTAATTAGTTT